AGCATCAAATATAGTATCTATAAAGAACTTTCAATAAGCTGCTGTCTTAAAGTACAATATAGTTTAGTTGGTATATTATTATTATTGAACTATATGGTTCAGTTCTCTTATTTTTAACACATAATGTGTGTTGTTTAGATAACCTCGACTTCGCAAAAATTACAAGAAATTTTTAAAAATTATGAATAAAATGTCTTATATAATTTTAGAGGGAATCTTAAACATTCGAAAAAACTGATTCAATAAAATATAAAATATTGTTTGAGAGTTAACCCGAAATTTTTAAGAATGTCAATCATAAAAAGAATAATTGTGTATAGCGCTAGCAACAAATTACAGCAACTACAGATAAACATATGTCTAAGCCGTTTTTTCTTTATGTTTGTTGCTTCTGACGATGGGAGGAGATATACCTCTAAAATGTTAAGCATTTTTTATCGTACGGACTCTCTCTATGTGTATCATGTTTAACATGTTTGCTTGATTGGCCAAACTAGTATATAATTTTGATTAAGGTAATAATATTATAATGGTCATATTAATTCTAAAAGTATTAATCAAAATGGAGAATTTTTTAAATTATTTTTTTAAAAGTTTCATACAAATTTTTCTTTAAAATAAATTGAGAGACATTTATTTCTCATTTCTAAAATTATTGTCGGTTATGCAAATTTCAGGTCATCGATGAAACGCACAGTATAAAGATAAATATCTAAAAAAAACAGTAGGCAATTTAAAAAATAAAACACTATTTCATAACGATACATCAAAAGATCATTTTAGCACCATTAGCAGCTGATTAAAAATAAACTGTTATTTAAAAATTGGACAATTATATAGGCCCTCAATTGGTATTGCTGCCAAAAATGACAGAATTAGTGAAGCAAGACAAATGAAATAAAAGTCTCATTAAAGTAATGGTTCTGACAATGTTCTTACAAACCTTCTTTATCTTTAGCCTCCGGCTTTCCGTCTCCTATCTGACACAAAACCAAAACAGTCAAACACAAAACACAAATAATATCAACAGTCCCCATCATTCAAAGTCAACCCCAACCAATCCAAACAACTACCTAATTACAGTCCTTAACAACAACAGTCAAAAAAATATCGAATTTTACTTCACTAAAAATTTTCACGGAAAATCTTGCCGCAAAATCGGAATACGCGCCTTATCTCGGGAAAGCGGTCGCGGAAAAGCTCCGCGCGACGTCACACTCGAGAGACTGCAGGGAAAAACGTCGGGAAATCCTGTGGAGCCTCGACGCGTGCGCTTTTCCGAAGGGCCATCGAGAGAGACGAGGCCCTACCGAAATGTATTTGCCAATCTGCATTTGTTTATTGCCTAATGTTCTCTCTCCGCTCTCGTGTCGTTGTTGTACGCTGCATTTTTTTCGATTGACCGTTGTTTTAGGTGAATCAATAGAAAACTATTTTGTTTGTGTCATTAATTAGTTCTCTCATTGTTTTGAAACAGTAGGTTCATTAAAATCGTTAAACAAATCGTCCTATTATGCCACTGAATAATATTGTGGTAATATTGTGTAATAATTTCAGACCTCCATTGTCTTTATATTTATATTTATTTACGTCAGAATAACTATTAAAATATCAGAAAAATTCACAGAAAAAAAAACATACACAAAATAAAAAAATGTATTGATAACGACTGCACTGTCCACCAAGCTCGGTTTATTACTGTTTTAATCAATCTTTCTCGTAAAAATTAGGTGATGCCAAGTAATCCATCCCGTCAGTAAAAATTGGACAAATCTGAAGGGGCCAATACGAGCGGGCTTAATTGTATTTGCTGTGACATACTCGTCAAGTCCACGTGGACTCTGCCTCGTGTATATACAGTATGTCCCCGGATTGTCTTTACAAGAGGTATTTTTTTATTATTAACATTTTGAGAAAAACGTAATCTTCATCTAAATTTTTGCTTGTTCTAAAATGGTTAATCCCTTTATACTTTTCCAAATTTCCATACCGTTTGAGAGAAAATTTAAAAAAACATTAAAATATAGTATAATTTTTTACAAAATCCTAAAAATCAAACTGCGTTTCTATGGTAATATAACTTCGTTTTCATTCCTTGATAAATTATTATTCATAGAATTTTAATTAATGTAATATTTTTTTAATGTTGTTGCGAATTTGAACGAAAAGAGAATTGAAAAAAAGAAAATATTGAGAAATAAATATACCAATTAGCAAGAAAAGTAGAAACAGTGTCGGATCTCTGCACTAGTATTTGCGACTTGTTCTCTACACACCGACCGAATTGCGAATTGTCTTCTGGTAGTACGCGCACTATGATCGCGCGCACTGGGCAATAGAGATATCATCTGAGTTTGAATTTTGAAACGAAATTGAATTTAATTTAATGATTTATGTGATCATTCTCAACAAAACAATTAATAATCGAATAATGTAAAGAAAAATAAACAAAAAATTAAACTACTTATTTTTGCACATCACTTATATTGTTCAAATGATTAAATATTGTAAACCCAAACCCAATCAAAGAAAACTAAAAAAAAAGAATAATGAGATGCGTGAACAAATGTACTACAAAATTTATTTAGTTCAATGATACGGAAAGGGTGATGATAGTTATCGGAAAATGTTATACTTTAATAACTGCAAAGAATATGACGTTGATCAAAATTAATAATAACCATCTATCAAAAAATGAAATCGAAATGATATTACCACAGTATACACAGTAATATATTGCCTTTTGATTTTTAGAACTTATTCATTTATTGAACCATATTCTCATGTTTTTTTCTTAATTTTCTCTGAAACGATATGGAAATTTGGAAAAGTATAAACTAGATTAGTCATTTTAGAATCAGTAAAATTTTTTATGAAGAATGAATTTTTCTGAAAATGTCAATAATAAAAATGGTTTTCTTTATGTAAAAAAATCCGGGGACATACTGTAGTTAGCGATCTATAAAATATATTGCTGTTTATTTAAATGTGTTTTGTAGTAAATTGACCATACTCCAAACCAATATTGTCTCTGCGTATGCAGAGAGTATGCATTCAAGTATTTGAAATTCCATTCATAGACAGAGATCAAGTAGACGCACTTTACTAGATATTATAGAAATAGAAGTTCAACGAAAAATAGTGGATAAATATCATATTAAAATCTAGAAAAATATTAAAATATATAGAAAATGCTTGAATCAATCAAAATATAAATAAAAGTATAGAGAACAAACGACTGCCAAATCGATGGATTTCAATCATTCCAAATCATTCGGCCAATTAGTCATTCGTACAAGATTGTCAAAAAACTCTCACTACGCTTTACTTCCGTATTAGACGGTACGAAGCTTACCGAGTCAGCTACTTAAGTAATAAAATAAAAAAAATATATTTCGATACATTTTTTTATTATTTTCACAGTATATCTATTAAACATAAATGTTATTTCTCCTTCAGATAACAAGTCAATATAGATTGGAATTGAAGGATTATGATTTTATTGACATTTTGAAAAAATATGTTCCCAAAGAGACTTGACCAAAATCGACAAAATCCTTGTCCAAAATGGTTGATTTCATAAAATTGATTTGACATAGTATTAGGCTTGATATATAAGAAATATTTGGAAAGTTTTGTATAGACGATATAAAAAATTATTTACAGCATATTAGATGAATTAATTTAAAATCTAAGAAGAAAAAAAATATATATATATATATAGAATGTTCAGCAATTGCTCAACGTTACCATTGTCATCATATATTGTCGAACTCTCTTAGTCATTTGCCAAACAAGAGCTCATTGCTAAACTTATAAATTATTTTTCTCGAGAAAAAGACGCTGGTAGAACACTCTTGCCCGTGGATGCCGTATATAAAGTAAGTACAATGCAAATATGTAATATTCCTATGTAAAATACAAATTGAAAGCGTTTTCAAATAATATGCGAGTTGCTGATATTTTAGAAATAGAAATTTCAACAGTCCAAAAGATTTGAATTAGAGGGATTGTAACTGATGAAGAGTTGAAGAAAAAATGAATAAATGCCAAATAAAATAACGGAACTCGCTCAATCAAAAATAAAAGAACGTATTTAAAATTTTCTAAATAATATGAACTGATCTCAGACACATTCTAAAACTCATATTTGACAAATAGTTATGTCGTAACGTTGTACGATGGCTGAACAGGCTTTAATAACAAAATGTGTCTCATTTATTCTTAAGTTATGACCATTTAAAACAACATTTTTTAATATTTAATAGTATTATAATACAAACCAATTATTTAAATACAAGAACAAATAATTATCTAAAACAATTGTACAACTGACGTCTATTATAGGACTTATACAAGAATGATCTTTTTATTCTAATTTCTACAAATATCTAGCACAAACTACAAATGATTGTATAGTAAATTTTAAAATATTTGAAAGCACGCAATCGAAACTAAACATGCAAAAGTAGTCTATTTATTTAGATAGAGCAGGCTAAATAACTTCAAAATTAAAATATACTCTTACATTAATAATTCAAATACTCCCTAATAATAAGATGTCTCCAATCATTTTATCATAAAAAGTTTTATAGTTTATAAATTACAGTGATAATTAACCATTCTCCAGAGGCTTGTAATTATTTTTCTTTGATTCTATACAGAATGTCCCAACATTTCTAACCAACTATCTACTACGTATGTATTTTGCGAATTTGCCTCCATTCAAAAGTGCTTCGTTTGTCCGTCACAACCAAATTAAAAAAAGAAAACAAATTTTTTAATTTGTTTTAACCTTCCGTTATTTGCGCCTTTTTACATAAGCACACACGTGGGGTATTTTAATACCCCAATTAATTTCTGATCAGAAACATCAGAAAAAAATCATTTTCATCACATACCAATTTATTTACATTTTAACAATTGTAGACACTGAAAAACTTCTTAATTGTACCTAAATTTAATTGCCTGAATTTTAGGATTTACTTTGGCCTTATTTGCTAAGCCATTGTTGTTCCGTCCGATCCGTCTGTTCCGGCCGTTCTGTCCGTTCCGGCCGTTTTGTCCGTTCCGGCAGTTCCGGCCGTTCTGTCCGATTCGGCCGTTCTGTCCGTTCTCTCCGTTCCGACCGTTCCGTCCGATCCGGCCGTTCCGTCCGGTCTGTCCGTTCCGGCCGTTCTGTCCGATCCGTCCGATCCGTCCGATACGTCCGTTCCGTCCGTTCTGTCCGTTCCGGCCGTTCTGTCCGATCCGTCCGTTCTGCCCGTTCTGTCCGATCCGTCCGTTCTGTCCGATCCGTCCGTTCTGTCCGTTCTGTCCGTTCCGGCCGTTCTGTCCGTTCCGGCCGTTCCGTCCGTTCCGGCCGTTCCGTCCGATCCGGCCGTTCTGTCCGTTCCGGCCGTTCTGTCCGTTCCGACCGTTCCGTCCGTTCTGTCCGATCCGTCCGTTCTGTCCGTTCCGGCCGTTCTGTCCGTTCCGGCCGTTCTGTCCGTTCCGGCCGTTCTGTCCGATCCGTCCGTTCTGTCCGTTCCGGCCGTTCTGTCCGATCCGTCCGTTCTGTCCGTTCCGGCCGTTCCGACCGTTCCGACCGTTCCGACCGTTCCGACTGTTCCGGCCGTTCCGTCCGTTCTGTCCGTTCCGGCCGTTCTGTCCGATCTGTCCGTTCTGCCCGTTCTGTCCGATCCGTCCGTTCTGTCCGATCCGTCCGTTCTGTCCGATCCGTCCGTTCCGGCCGTTCTGTCCGTTCTGTCCGTTCCGGCCGTTCTGTCCGTTCTGTCCGTTCTGTCCGGTCCGGCCGTTCTGTGCGTTCCGGCCGTTCTGAGCGATCAGGCCGTTCAGGCCGTTCTGTCCGTTTTGTCCGTTCCGGCCGTTCTGTCCGATCCGTCCGTTCTGTCCGTTCTGTCCGATCCGCCCGTTCTGTCCGTCCTGTCCGTTCCATACCATAGTTATATTCTTTCTTATGGAACACCCGGTATTTTATTTCATTTTTGGATTCTTGGACATAAAATAAGGCATTTATTACAGGTTTAATATCTTTAAAAGCTTTGGTTTTTGAGATATTTAAAGATATTTAAAAATGCATGCTATAATAAAAAAGTTTGTTAACACCTTGTACATTACTTTTTGGAATCAATTCTTGTACTGACTTTCAAGCCAGAGAAATAGACTATACTAAAAAAATGTATTGCTTCCTTAAATGTATACAGAAATTAGGGGTATCAAAAATTGCTTGTCTATTTTAAATATGTAGAATTTTTTTTAACTAGCGAGGTGCGCCACCCTGTATATGATAAAGTATATACGTAGCCCGCATTTCTAAATCAACAATACAAATGTAGATGTGAAGAACGCAGAGGTAGGTATATCAAAGGGAAACCCGAGGGGAAAACAAAACAGTATGAATAAAATTAATTTTATTTGACTGAATATGGAATTGTTTTGGCGTATCCTTGGTGGGGTATTTGATGAAACAAACCCACATTCGTTTTGTCTTCCTTTATAAACCTCTCCTAAAGGGAGAATCTGAGAAATCTGTCAACAATTAATATTATCCTAAGGTAATTCGTTATTTGTACAATTTTAATTTAATATTTTTGTATATCACTTCCTTTAAAATTATAATAAAAGAAGCGATAGCCTCTAAAAAAAATAGAGGTTTTTTTAATACAATCTAATAACAATGTGTAATGCAAATGTATTTCCCATGCATCTGTAGATGTTAGTAATCAATCGCTTCTTTGATTTTAAAGTATATAACATAAATAAACATAATATATATAAAAATTAAAAACAAATTAAAAATAATCATACAGAAAGTTTGAAGATTTTTGGTTCTACCTTATTAAGTAATTGTTAGCAGGTAGTAATTTTTAATTTTTAAGTTTAATTTGATATAATGTCATTTTAACAGAACGTCAACGGTTTTTATAGATGTATCTGTTGAAAAAAAACTAAAGTGTTCTCGAATAGTTGTATTTAGATATTTTAAATAGTTTTTTTCCTTTGTTCTTTGTGTTCATTCAAAAAGATTCACTTTCTAAACGCTAAGCATTTTTTTGTCGGTTAGGCAAATTTGTTTATTAGTAAACTACTGCTGACAATTAATCTCCGTCGGATTAATGCGCCAGTTTTTACAAAAAAATAACTATTTTATTTTGCAGATTTTTTTTAAAGTGGCGAAGTAGGCCTTTTTGGAGGCACTTTTTTAAAACTGATCAATAAAATCATCAATTTATAAACATATTTACCAATACGATAGTATGATCAAAACAAAATCTGGGATTGAAAATCGATAATAATTTTGGCGAGGTCAATCTCTACACATCATTTACTTAAAAGTGATATAAAACTTGTCAAAAATTAACACTATTTATAGAAAGTTTAAAAAAGAATAAAACATACATATATATTTCCAAAAAATTATTTTTTCTCAAATTTTAAACTACACCATTTAAAATTTTTACTCAATATAAAAAAAACACTTACACTAACGTCTAGAACTTGACCTCGCCAAAATTATCGTCGATTGCCGTTAACAGCCATCTTTGACGCCGTTTTTCGATCGTATGGTATTTTCAAACAAGTTAAGTGTAGGACTTTCTTGTTTAAAATACAAAGTGTCGAATAAGCTAAGAGCCAACTGGTTGTCGGTTGAAGATGGTAGTTCTCAAAATGTAAATATTGTTTTTTTAAATTTCCACAGTTAAATAACTCGGTTAATTTCAATTTACTTTAGAAATTATAAACAGAAAACATGTACCTTTTGTCTAAATTTACCATTGCTTAAAACACTTACTCTCATTTTAGATACACCCTGTAAAATTTAATAATATTTATACGACAAAAAATCATTAATATTTTGCTTTAACAAAATTCTGTTTCATAATCTTATTTACACAATAGCTAGATTTCAGTGTAGTGTAAATGTTTTATACTAATATTATGCACTATAGAGATGATGTTTTATGATTTATGACGTTAATTACTTTAACGTAACAACTGTAGTTAAGACACGTGTAGAACTCTGCTGCAGACATGACAAGATTTAAAGACTTTTCACACAACGTTATTAATCAGTGGAGCTTAACAATCTGCGGTTAAACAACGACCGTCAAAATGCAAACTAAAACCATAAATTGAGTGAAATCAATATCATTTGACGTCCTTATGTGTAAACAGTAATTTATAACAATACTGCATAAGAATATAAAATTTCGTTCACCTTATGTACAAATTTTATTTTATAATTTTATTGAAAAAAAAGTGCAAATATTTTCAGGGCTGGTTGATCTCGATAAAGGAAATATATTTTCTCTTTACCATTTTTCAAATTCGTCCAAAATAACCGAGTGCTTTCACTATCAAAATTTCCAAACAAAATTATTTATTACTTCCGTCCAATCCGACCCGTCCGATCTGTCCGATCCGTCCGATCAGTCCGATCAGTCCGCTCCGACCGGTACGATCCGATCCGATCCGACCGATTCGATCCGACCGGTCCGACTGATCCGTCCGATCAGAACGGTATTTTAAATAGTTTTTCTCTTTCTTTGTTCTTTGTGTTTTTTGCTTCCGACGACGGAAAGATATACTTTCCAAGCGCTAAGCATTTTTTTGTCCGTTAGGCAAATTTGTTTATTAGTAAATGGATTTTTTGAGAACCACTGGATCTTTTCTGTTTTTTTCTTGCTATGGCGATATAATATTTCGGAGTAAGAAACATGCGTAATATCTATTACATACCTACTTAGTCCAACGCTAAATTTCATGCGCTTGTGAAAACACTTGTGTTCTTCTCTCTTTATTTAGTACGCCTTTTTGTATTGAGTATGTTTCCAAATGGCAAAAGAGTACGCCAGGGATACACGATATCCCCAAAGCTGTTTACAGCAACATTAGAAGAAATCTTCCGTCAACTGGATTGGACCAACAAAGGATTAAAAATAGATGGAGAATATTTTAACTATCTAAGATTTGCCAATAGTTTTGAAAAACTAAAGCCACAAATTAATGAACCTACATACAGCCAGCAATAAGGTGGATGTCAAAATGAAGTTAGCGAAAACTAAAGTGATGTACAACGAACTAGTGGAAACAAAATACATTCTAATAAGTAACACAACATTGGAAATAGTAGAAGAAAATATATATTTGGGACACATAATACACAGCTCGGGATCTCTACTACCCGAAATCAACACAAGAATAATTAAGTTAGCATGGAGTACTTATGAAAGAAACTCAATCATATTCAAATCTAGAATGCCACTTTATCTAAACAAGAAGACATTCGGCCAATATGTACTACCACACTCATGACCTATGCATGCAAAACTTGGATATTTAAAACGCACATTATAAGGAAACTACAGATTGCAGAACGCCCAATGGAAAAAAATATGCTGAGAACAACCAAAAAAGACTGTAAAAGAATAGAGTGGATACGACAAACGACCAGGTTATAGATATCATCTACAGAATCAAATCCATCAAATGAAAATGGGCAGAAGGCTTGGTATGAAGAACAGACGGACCAAAAAATTACAACGTGGTAACCACGTGGAATTAAGAGACCTAGAGGATGATTGAACCTGAGATGGGACCATAATATTAGGAAATTAGCAATAATAATTTGACCCGCACGGTCAACAATAGACAACAATGGGCCCAACTATAAAGAGAGTATGTAAGGGAAGCTACACCATAAAGGAAAATGGTTGAATAAACTGAAAATGATGATTGTATTGAGAGTATTGACTATTTTCTTAGTACACAAGAAAATCGGCACCCAAAGCCAGAAATGGTGACCCGGTATATAAAGTGTCCATCATACATTAATGAATTATGAAAAAAAAAAATTAAACGAGTTCTAAATCGCTCTCAATATTTTCTTTTCAGCATCTGACTTTATGTTAAAAAAACATAGTTTTTACATCAATTTTAAAAAACAAATTACATTTCAACTTAAGCTCACATGTTCATAAGTACACTCCGTCACTAACTAATCAAAGTTGTTTCGTTTTAACCTATCAGATTTAAACTCTATTATCGCATTAGCGGCGATATTAAACAACGACGCACGTACGTACATTAATCAGAGCTCAATCAACCCCAATTTGGGAATTTGTTGTTGAGTTCGAGCCGATTATAGTTTTGCGTCAGATATGAAATATATTAGAGAACAAATAAATGGCGGAAATGGTCGATAAATAGGATGCGCGCCGCGTGCGGTCACACACAATTTTAATGCTATTAACATAGACATTTTTATTCGGGAACTCAGTTTTGGGATTTGTGCATAAATTATGGCGTAGCGTCGAATTATGTTGTATCAACTGGATGAGGATTTGCGTGTTGTGTTCATTGGTTAGGGGTTGTCTGAAGTGGTATTTAGCAGAGTGATAAATGACGGGCTTAAAAAGCAACGGAATTCTAGGCAAAATACAGATTCTAATATTACATACAGGGTATTTGTAAACAAGCACATAAAAATCAATTGATGGTTTGTTTTTTTAATAAGGGTGATTTTTTTTATACATTTTTTAATAATGTATTATTTTGTTGCTGATTTATTCAGTTATATAATATGAACCATAGCCAGATATTCAAAATAGACAAAACATATACATTCATGTAAAACTTGGAAAATAAGTAATTCACACAGTAATAAACAGACTTTCTATATGAAAGTCGATTAGGGAAAATAGTATGATTCATTGGCAAGCGATGTAAATATTTGTGATCAGGTAAAATTGTGATGCAAGAGGAGGCTTAGCTTGCACGGGCGCGGCAGGTCAGTCAGTCGTTGATAGGCCGGCCGGCTGTGTAGTGTTGTGTTTTGTCACAGAGCTGACAAATGGAGGTTGTGAGTCTTTTGACTAATATAGTTGCAAGTCGTTTGACTGTAAGCCAACGGGGTCGTTTGACCACGGTAAGAAAACCTCTTGGGACGTCCTGCCTTCGAGTTGGTCTTGAGAGTTTGAGGTCTCCATAATGTCTTCTCGATTGACGATGCGGCGTTGGGATAGTGAGCTACCCAATAGCCTATTCGATTGGGATGCGAATCTGTTTAGCGGCAGAGTTGCGTCCGGGGGAAGCCCCTATACTATTTCAGGTGACACTAGCTAGTTGTTGAAGATTATTAACCAATAGATCCGAATAATATTTGAATTAGATGGAAGATATGGAATGTGATCTATTGAATAGAATATCAGTGACTAGGGGGCGGAGTACCCCCGGGTGAGTCTTACTATTTAACTATCAATTTTATCCAGATCAGTAAATGTTTGTTTTGTTATTTTCATGTACAATGAGAGAGTGCTTGCCAATGACCAACTAAATGGATATTTGAGGTGAATTTGCATTGTGAGACCCGGTTGAGTAAGCCCCAAAAATACCGATTTTACATTCATTTGTTTCAACCCAACATTTACAAAAAAATGTCAACAAATGGTTTGTGTATTAGTTAAATAATTCTATTTACGCAAAAAAAGAAATTATATAGGATGAGTCTTAAATAAATGCAAATATTTTTCGACTCCAGAAACACGAGTATGAGGTTTATTTGGCAAAATAAAAATTCGGAATTTTTTGAAAAAAAAATTAAAATATTTTTAGTTTTTAGTTAAAAAACATATAATTTGTTGATAATATGGCAATATAGGTAGTAGATTAAATTTATAAGAAAGAGAATCCAGAAAAGATTGAGTGGTTCTCAAAATTTTGGCAATTTTTTTTTTAATTTTCAAAGTAAAATAACTCGGTTATTTTTAATTTGTTAATTTTATTTTAATTTTGAATTTATTAATTAAATATGTAAAGGTTGATTCTCACTATACCATCAATATCAGCTACCTTCCGTTTCCCTTCCGTTTACATAAAATATTATATCATCTTAGTACACAGGACAATGCACACTATCCGTTCCGTTTCCCTTCCGTTCCATATCCTTTCACGCCATACATTTTTTTTGCGGACGGACTGAAGCGTATCGGAAATAACGTTGTCAAGTTCTTACACTTGTACCAGCTCTGCTAACATTTTGTTTACAACTATTTATTTATTCTTTCACCTCTTAATTAAATCTATTACCTTTTTCAAAAGATACAAATTTTTAAAACAAAACTTTCGTAATTACATAAATTGTACAATAAAAAGTACGGAACTGATACGGAACGGAAGCTTACGTATAGTGTCAATACAATAAGAAATACGGAACGGATATGGAATACAAACGGAAGGTATAGTGAGAATCAACCTTAAAGGATGATTCACGGTACACCGTGACGGGCCGGGGCCGTGCGACGGTGAAGGCACGGCCAAACATTGTCAAATGTTATTTATACTTATACATTCATGCTAAGCCGAGCACGGCCCGAGCTTCGCCGGAACCCGTCCGTGCCCCGGCCAAGAAATGTCGGTGTACATTTTTCCACGGATCCGCTACGGTCCGGCCTCGTTGCGGCAAACATAAATGAGCCGCCGCGGCTAAATACTTCGTTCGTCTACGGGCCTATAGCGACTGTTTTCTAGCAGTGTTGCCGCACCCAACTTTTAGCGCGTACCACATTATAAACTAAAAATGTACCACTTTGGTACACTTTTTTAAAGCACAACAAAATACATCTGCAAATGACTTTAACCGGTTTGGTCGTTGTGAATTTCTTCATAAATTTCTACATAAAAAAACTTACTGGAGAAAGACACAAATCGAGACGAAAAACATGAAATAGAAATTCAGAAAACCCAATTATAAGTATGTATAGGTTGAAGAAATCTAAGTAATTCTAATACTACACAAAATACTTGGAAAACTTAAATTTTATTAAAAAAAAAACGCAAATATAGAAGCATGTTTGAAACAGTAAATTTTCAAGTTTTTTCTTCGGGTTATTTAATATAGGCAACGCTATAGACATTACAACGTTTATAATACGTCGTTAATTAATGCGGATTGTCTCCGAATGGTATCGGTAAGCGCGTTTAATGCAATATCAACGACAATAATTATTAAATATCTATTCATTTTCGGTGCGCGTGGGAAATAATTATTGTACCAAATCATCCTGGATTTGAAAATGTAGTACCATTGTACCAAATAGAATTAAAAGTATCAAATTTGGTACAAATGTACCACTGCGGCAACACTGTTTTCTAGAATATAATCGGCACGGACATGATCCCCGTTGTCCACTCGGTGTAGCATATATTGAAGGCCCGGACGTGGCTCGGTGTCTACTTTACGAAACGTGCCCGGCTCGGGTACGGCCCGGTGTACCATGAATCATCCTTAAGTCGGAAAATAATATACAGATATGGTGCTACATCTATATTTAAATCTTAAGCAATATAAAATACAATTTGTATAACTAAGAGAACATCTAATATAGGAATGTCTCCCTTTCTTTTATAATGTATTTCAAAAATTAAATCATAATGGCTAAATAGAATTAAATTGCTTATTTTTGTGGCTGGTTAATGGAAACATGTATTTTTAGTCGAAACATTATCGTAACGTTCCACGTAATTAGCACAGTTATAGCGTCTAGTTGGATGTAAAGAGTTCTTTAAGATTCTATGTTTCCGAATATTAAAAGCATAATAACTTTTTAGTACGCATACATTTTTACTACATTAATATCAAAACAATTTTTTACTTCCATTATTTTTACTGGATTTCTCAACGACTTCTTATTTTTCAGTGGCTCTGTATTTTTCATACACAAATTAGTCTAGCCGACGAAAAAAACTCTTGGCTTTTTAGAGAAGTTTTTTACTAGATGAATGTCGAATTCGAATGTTAATAATAAATAGGTTGTGAAGTTTTGTTGAACAATTTCTGATTAACTGAAAATTAAAAAATAATTCATGTCAGTTGTCAGCTTTTAAAATTAAATTAGATAAAACCACAAGATAGGGTCTTGGATTTTTTAACAATTTAATATATTATTATATGAATAAACAAAGAACGGCGTCAAAGTTGGTTTGGAAATGAAGTTCGCTGTTATTTCATATATAAAATATTATAGTAAATCTCGTCATTTCCAAGCCAACTAAATGACTTTTTTCGGTCATACGAAATATTCAGTACCTATGAAAGAATGTTATTTTCGAGGGGAAAACCGCTGACCTAAATTTTGTACACCAACTTCCCTTTTATGCAAAAACTTCCTCATACATCCTTTACATCATTTTTACTTCCTTCTGCCCCTTTTAATACTTCCTTAACATCCTCAATACTTCCTCATACTTCCCCATATTTCCTCGTACATCCTCAATATATCCCCGTACATCTTTAATACTTCCCCGTACTTCCTTAATACTTCCTCGTTAAACCAAAGTATGTGATTCAAAATATATTTCTATTAATCCACTTTAGAATCGGCTACCAAAAACAGCCAGCGTTATAAAAAAGCCCTAAATGATAGCGAAAATTTAATTGTTTGCAGGCGTTCAAATAATATACAGGGTGGTCCGAATTGTATTCCGGAAACTTTGACAGCATATTCTGCAGATAAAAAAAAATTGGCGCCGGGAGGCACGAATAGCCGCCCATACGTGATATTTTTTGTTTATCTCAAAAACTGCGACTTTGACTGATTTTGATGTTATACAAATTTTGTTGCAAATATTATTCCTAATCTTAAATTGAAAACCGCGTTTCGCTAGCTACTGTAATAGTACGATTTTTTAAAATTTTTAACCCCCTCCAATACCCCCTTAACAACCCCCCACTCCCACCAAAAACTAATGGCCCGATTCTCGGGTGCCACAGTATTTTTGTGCTAAATTTGGTTAAAATCGGTTTAGTGGTTTTTGAGTTATCGTGTTACAGACGGACAGACGAACAGACAGACAGACACCCTGGAAATATTTTGTATTTAGGTCATTTATGACCCAAATAACTCATTTTGAGTGAAATTTAAAAAAAATTGCCGATCTTAATATATCTACCTGTCGGAATGATCGGCTAATTAGTAAAAAAGTTCGTATAAATATATGTCATATCAATTAAAATGTCAAAATAACGATAAGCTAGCGCTTTGTGAAGTTTCTAAAATGCTCACTTTTAAAACAAAACTCGAAGACCAACGCGAGAGGATTGCTGCCTAGTATAGTCGAAACCACAATGTTGCCAATTGTAAAAAAATATTCTAAAACCGTAGACAAAAAAATGTATTATTTAAATACCAACTTAAAGCAGTTCTAAGCTCAAGTAGCTCAAGTAGGGATCAGATTCTATAATCAACTATATTCTATATAAGGAAATTCTTCTGTTTTTCTTTTTAATTTCTAATAATTCTCTTGAACTTTACAGGACTTCCTTCATACTTCCTCAATACTTCCCCGATATTTCCTCGTACTTCCCCGTACTTCCTCGCATTTCCTCGAAACTTCCTCTATACTTCACCAACTTCTTCCATACTTCCCGTACTTCCTCGCATACTTCCCCCTTTTTGTACATCACTTCCCCAGCGGTTTCCCTCTCGGTTATTTTTATTGTTTATTCTATGTTTAACACGAATAAATTTTCAATACATAAATGCGGTTTTTCAATACGTAAAGTCCGTCCGATCCGTCCAATCCGACCGGTCCGTCCATTCCGTCCGATCTGACCGGTCCGTCCGTTCCGTCCGATCCGACCGGTCCGGCCGTTCCGTCCAATCCGTCCGTTCCGTCTGATCCGTCCCTTCCGATCCGATCCGACCGGTCCGACCGATCCGTCCGATCCGATCCGACATATCTGTTTATATGATTTAAGCACAGAATAACAGAGGACATCAAAATTAACCAACTCAGTTGGTACGGGCACGTACAAAGAATGGAAGAGAGCAGAATCTCAAAGAAAATACTCAATTGGACACTACAAGATAAAAGAAAGAGAGGGAGAGCTAGACGGAGTTGGAGAGAAGGAATAGACGGAAACATCAGAATAAGAGGAATAGACAAAAACCTCTGGATGAGACCAATGAAGACTGGAAATCAGAAGACGGCAAAGAACGTTATGAACTGATTTGTATATACTGATGAATTAAAATTGATAAATATTTTTAATCAAATAAAATTATAATGAACATAATTGGATATTTTTTATCTTTCTATATCATTATCAATAACAAGAAATAATTCCAGAAAACAAAATAAACAGACACATTCAAGCTTTAATTAAATTTCTGTGAAATATTATAACAAATGGAACTGGCGCTGTAGTTCTCACCGCGGCAAAATACTGCAACTCATTCCTTTATTTATTTAGGTTTCGTAGGGTCTGTGGCGAAATCGATCCATGGGAACGGTTTAAAAATTTACAAATTATAGACCGACCCTAAGAATTATCGTGCTATAGCTAGCTATTAAATTGCAGCGTGGAAGATTTAGGATTTGCTGTCATGCCCTCTATCAGTACTTTTTAATAAATTATTAGAACCGTACCCGCCTTTATGTTTTAAAGGGTTTCCTTACAGGATTTAAATACACAGCATATGTTTTTTAATATTAAATATTTCAGATGTCAATACATTCCATCTATGAAATTGGGTAATAATACTAAAACAATTTCGGACACCCATTGTCTTTATTTTAATATACACAATATTTCGACACTCCGTGAGCGGTATCAAATGTGAACCAAACTAAATCTTAAATCTATTCAGCATATACAGGGTTATTCGCCTCATTCGACACGCAGAAATTGTAAAACCTTGAATTTGCCTCCAGATGGTTTCCCTCCACTGCTTGAAATAGGCTCTGTCATTACAATTGAATCGTTCTGGAACACTTATAGCACCTTGAATCTTTTTCGCAATCTCTATGTTATTGTTGATAGACTCTTAGATATATCCTTCCGCAACCGTTGCAGATCGCCATCCTCCGTGTCTTTTTAACGTTGTCATGTTCACTCCTGCATTTGCCAGTAATGTATACAATAGCCAGTGTATTGCTCAGGATGTTGTAGACCCAAGTACTTGCGGACGATCTTCCTGAATCATTTTTCTTTAAAATCTGACTTGCTGGTTGATAATTACTCACTATTTTATCGTTCAAAAATCGCGATTTATCTAAATGACGTCTTAATGTCAGTGCTATTTATTATTTACAAAAAAACAAAACGCACATCTATATTGCATAGTAACATAAACTGATAATTTATTAATTCGCAACAATGAAAGTAGAACTGGAAGATCCTTTTAAAACAATTATTCTTTAGAGATTGGACATGAAACAGTTCTGCTGTTGGATAAAATTTTGTATGGCACTCGCGTGTTATAACATATAAGTCACATGAGAAAATTAGCCTTTAAGGCTAAACATTTCCCAGCGTGACTTATATGTATTGTTAACGCCTAGGCAAAAAATAGTTAATTGCTGAACGACCAACAGTTCGGCTTCAGGTCCGGACACAGCACTGTGCTGGCTATTCTGGACCTCGTGTCATTCATTTTGGATGGCTTTGAGGGTAGGGAACATGTTGGCGCGGTATTTTGCGATTTAAGTAAAGCCTTCGATTGTGTGTCTCACGAGTTGCTCATTAAAAAACTCGACTATTATAAATTTAGTGAGGATAGTGTTGTCCTTTTAAAATCCTACATGGAGGACAGAATATAGAGGGTGGTCGTTGATGGTGGTTCCACAAGGCTCAGTACTGAGCCCTTTACTTTTTTTGATTTATATAAAAAACTTACCACATATCCGACGTGACGACCACTACGGTTTGTTGGCAGATGATACAGCGGTCTCGGTCAGAGGAAAAGAGCTAAAAGACCTAGAGGGAGGCGCGGATGACGCTCAAGCGAGGGCGGCTGACTGGTTCCGGAAAAGTAACCTAGTTTTAAATGAGGCCAAAACAAATCGTGTAATTTTTTCTTTGAGGAGAGGAGTGTGCCTGAGGACTGTCGCTTCTCCAGGGAATCTGTTCCATTTTTAGTAGTTCAGTTGGACAGTGAAATGCCATGGAATGCTCATATTGAGCAACTACGCTCTTTTTCATTCTGTGATGTCCTACGCTATTTTGGCTTGGGGTCACGCACCTCAGTGGCGCAGGGTTTTCGCGCTTCAGAGGAGGGCTGTGAGGGTTGTCGGAGGTTTGGGCTACAGGGATGATTGCAGGGAAACCTTTAAAATGTTAAATATAATTACTCTCCCAAATCTTTATATATTGGAAAATCTATTATATGTTTAAGCCAATACAGAAAAATATCCCACAAATGCTCAGCACGGCTCTCATGACACTCGTAGGGCGGAGCACCTCAGTATCCCTATACATAGGTTAGAAAGGTCTCGAGATGGACCTAGATACTGGGTATAAACTATTGTCCGATAAGGTATTTAAGGGTGGGGTTCATGTAAAAAATTCGTCCAAAAGTAGGAAAATATATTATTAAATTGACATAAATAGTAAAATTCAACCAGCGCAGCGTAACCATAATTTCTCGATACATAATTATGTACAAGGTATTACCAGGTATTACTTTTAAATATTTTTACATTATATGAAACGTTTAAAACTGTTTAAAAAATTATTTGTAACGTTTGAAAAAAAATAGCATATTCTATTCGGACTAAAAATGGCTTTTTGTGCCTCGCCTGTAATGCCAAACGTGCAGCCTAGCCAAAAAAAGTGTCATTTTTACTCCTGATAAAACAATATAATATTATTTATCGAAAAACAATCTTCTAATTTTATTTATGTCGCTACGCTATACGTTTATGACTCTAAACAAAAACAATGAGAGTAATTTAAATTTATTTCTATTATTGTTCGTAACTGCTTGCCGTAAACCGTTCCATGTAAACATATGATTGATTACACGCACACAAACGCACGCAATAAAATTCCGAATCGTATTCCAGAACGATGAGTGATTATATTTGTTTTATCTTTAACTTAATGCACATTATAAATTTTACAATAAAACAAAATGAATTTAATGGAATTATTTAATATCGTTTTTAGAAACATCTATTTAAACGACTGATGAATAATTAATTTGTAACATTATTCACGTTCCTGCAAGGGAAATAATGATATTTTGGTATCGATTGGTCTGTTAAAACATGGTGTTGTGTGAAGGACAAACGTAGTGGAGCTTATGTTACTAATTATAAAATGTAATAATGTAATGACAAGGGTGGTATTAATTAACCCTGATTAATAATTTTCTTTTTTGGTTTTATTTCAGTTTAACAGTAAACCCGATGTGTTTGTTGACTAGTTATACAGATAGCAAATAAACCATTACATCAAGTATAGAAAGAGTAAATATACAAACACCATTAATATAAAATACAGGGTGGTGCCTCTCGAGAACGATAGTTTGTATTGAAATTAAATTTTGGGAACATGTAGAATTTAATTTCGTTTATAATTAACATTTTTTAAAAAATATACCGGGTGCCTTATAACTCTTTTATTTTTACAGATAAAAAAAACGAGATTTGATATGTTTGTATATGACATAAATCAGGATTGATTGACGTATTCAATTGATTTTGGTCCCTTCCTGCTTCACCGGAAATGACTACAACTTTTGATTGTTAAACGAGACCCTTTGTATTTTTTACCTCATTTGATAGAAAATGACATTCTGAATAGAATGGCATATAATATATCAATTTTTCACATTTCGAATATGGTTTATTTGAAATTGCAACATGCGGTTCATAACGACAATTTGACTCAAAATACCAAGTCTGTGGTACCAAATTGTTCTTAAAAAAAATCTTTCTCCAAATATGCTAATGGGTCACCCTCGTTCCATTTGAAAAAATTGAGATATGATTAAAAATACGATTTGGGCACCTTTTAACCGGTCAGGACAAAACGCGAAAAACATTAGACTATCAAATCTATTTTTTCAAGGCTCCTTGATTAAAAATTAGTGTTTTTAACACAGCCGTGGCACTCTAAATTGAAATTTAAAATACGATTTTTTTAAGCAAAAATATCAAAAGTTGATATATGATATGTCACTCTATTCAGAGTATAATTTTCTATCGAAGAAAGTGAAAAAAATACGGGGGTGCCAATGAAAAATCAAAAGTTGTAGTAATTTCCCGTGAAACAGGAAGTGGCCAAGAATAATTGAATACGTCAATCAATCCTAATTTATGTCATATACTAACATATGTACTTAATCTCGTTTTTTAATCAGAAAAAATAAAAAAATATAGGGCTGAGCCACTTTTGAGCCTCACCTGGCATAGTAGGGGTGTTCCTAAAAAAAGTTACCGATCAAAACAAATACTAAAAACAGAATTAAATAAATGTTTATAAATAAAAAAGTACTTTCACTAAACATTATCTTTTAAGTAAGAATTTTACATAGAATCTTTCAAGTCCCCGGTAGCCGCGTAGTTAAGTCGTTAGGATGCTATGACGTTGGAGCCGTAGTAAGTCAGGTTCGAATCCTAGTCAAGGCGACTTTTTTTTAATGGTTTTTTTTTATTTTATACATATTTTTACAA